GCTGCACCTCCTGGGAGTCTCAGTGTGCTTTTCTCTTTCCTTCTAGTTGGAGAATTTCCGCTCAGCCAACCTTCCTGTGGTTCTGGATGATGTCCGTTTTTGTCTTTTAGTTGTATTTTTAAAGTGGTTGTGCGAGGCAGCAATTTCCGGTGTTTACCTATGCTGCCATCTTGGTTTTCTAGGATATACTTTTTTTTTTTTTAATCTGGTCCCTGTTACTGCTTAATGGCTGGAAGTAGTCTTGTATCAGTATTGTTTTCTTTTCCAAAATTTTATTATGAAATTATTTAAACATGGTAAAGTTGAATGATTTTACAGTATATTTACCTGCAGTAACATTTTACCACATTTTATCACATATTCATATTTCCATTCATTAATTACATACTTTTTAGTTCATTGAAAGTCAATGGTGTTCCTCTGCTGCATTTCCTGAAAACTGGTAGTTGAATATAGAGGCTTGAACAAATTTCATTTTGAGCTTTGTCAAGGAAAAAAAAAGGCGTCTTGAGAATTTGCATCAGAAGACACATAATGTCTTGTCTCTCTTTTTGTGTTACCAGCCTCTAGTGGTCATTGCCTACACCTATTATATTAGGAGTTGAAGAATTAGGGGTATTCTATTTGTTTAATTTCTGTTTCATTTATTAGCTAGGCTATATCTATACAAAGAAAATAACTTTTTTGCAATATTGGTTTAAGCAAAGTCATAATTTATACAGAAAAAGGCATGGTTCGTGTTTGTTTCCTTTTGTCCACTAGTTTTCAAAATAACAAGTTGATTTCCTACTGTCTTCTAAGAGCAGTCAGTGAAGTCTTTGATGGATGAGGGGGATGTGTATAGATTATAAAGTCATTGGTTTAAACTTACTTGGCTTATTTCAAGGCATTGAAATTTTTTTGATGTTATGATTGTCATCTTTGATTAGTAGAAGCTTCTCCAGGCTTGCTTTTGAGTCCTTTTGCCTTGGCTGCAGTAGTCTTGAGAGCTTTCTCATTTTTCACTATTAATATTTAATAGGAACCCACACTTTGAATTTTTCTAGGCGGCCTGACCATAATTTGAGCTTTGTGGTTCTCTATAATTTTGCTTTCCCAGGAAACATTTGGCAGTGTCTGTATTCATTTTTGATTGTCACAAAGAGGGAAGAAGGAGAGTGCTATTTGCACCAGGGACAGAGGCCAGGAATGCTGCTACTTATCTGCAGTGCACAAGGACAGCCCTTTCTCACAATCCAGGAAATTGACATTGCTGGACCTTTATTAACAGACTAGAGGCCCACACGGGTAGGGTCCCGAGGCCTGGCCGGTGATCGGGCCGATCTGGGCCGTCTGGCTGCCGGATGGGGCCTCCCTTCCCTGGCTGCCGGCTGGGTCCTTCCTTCGTTCCACGTTGCCCTCTGTTGGTCAGCACTCGTCATAGTGAGCGATCAAACTCCCAGTCAAACTCCTGTGGTGACAATTTGCACATTAGGCCTTTATATAGAGAACAAATGTCATACATCTAACCTTCACAGGACCTTCTTTACATGCCGTCCATCAATGTGCTTGCAAAAAGTAGGCATTTGAGGAATGTTGATAAAGAGCATATATGTATCTTTCTCCTATACATGATCATAAAGATAAACAGCTTCAAAGTGATATCAGTGCTAAAACTAAATTTAGCTCTTGCAGTTGTTACAGAATTTTTGATAGATTTTTGAGGCTACTCTTCTGTCTTTATTATGATACTACCCTTGTTCCTAGCATCCCTTCTCATAGTGCCATTCCACAGGCTAGTTTTTTCTTCTAGGACTGTGTGCTGCCAATTAATTTGGTGGGGGGCGGGTGGAAAGGCGGTTTGATTTGTTAAATGCTAACCTTGTTCTAAAGCAGTGGTTCTCAGCCTTGGCTGCACATTAGAATCACCCGGGAATCTTTTTAAAATCCTGATTTCTGGGCCTCATCCTCCGGATGAGAACCACTGTTCTAAAGTGTAGCTAATGAGTTCCATGTAGTCCAGGAAAACTTGTCACCTTATTTGGAACCACCTGTAAGGGTTTCTAGGAAGAGATGTCAGCTGTTGTTGGTTATTAAGGTTCTTAGGTGGATGAAGTTGCTGGAGAGAGCAAGTCATGTCCCACCAGGGAATCGGGAGTCCACTATTCACTTTAACAGATGGTTGAGAACCATAAAAGTGGTAGAAACATGTAGGTTTTGTAAAGTGTTCTTAGAAAGCAGTTTCAATAGCTTTGAAGTATAACAATTTTGATGCCTAGGTAAGCATTTAGGGCTTCAAAAAGCTGGATTTCATCACAAAGAAGCAAGTTTACTTAATTACTTTGAAGGTTCATGTGTTGGAGAAATGGAAGTGTTAACAAACTAATCAAACTTTTGTTATCGGTGTCATATAGGTATCTAGAAAAAGCCTTTTAAATCTTCAGTGTAATGAGTGGGAAGCTGGGTTTTTATCAGATACTCAATTGTCACTTTTGCCTGACTCTTGCAGGTTTATCGCAACAGCCCAGTGCGCTCTGGCTGTGATGTGAATCCCTTCTGTGCACTGTGTGGCTCAAGCAATGCCAACACCATGCCTCCGGAAATCCACTACGAAGCCCCTCTGTTGGAACGCCTTTCCCAACTGGACTCTTGTGTTCACCCAGTTCTGGCATTTCCAGATGGTAAGAAAGGCCACAGAATATAGTCTAATAAATGAGATTCAGAGTTGAAAGTGAAAGGAAGTCAGCCAAGATCTTGGTACAACTCAGATATTATGATTGTATTGCTATCTGTCAACAGTCTTCTCAGAATTTTACAGATAGGATGCAATAGATCCATCAGATTTGCTATAAGAAAGATTTCTCCCAGCACTTCAAATGGCTAGGCGGGGCTAAGGACAGTTGCCTCCAGCCAACAAGCAAAGTGGTCTGTTATATCCCTGTATATCTTTAAAAATGTATTACCTGTGTTTCCATTACGTAAAATAGGGTGGGCAGCACTATTCTGAGAGAATGTCTTCCTATTGGGTGTGTATGTATTACTGGGAGTGGTTACATGACAGCTTTCCAAGGTGTACGTGAGCATAGATCTTCATTGTTAGCATGTACTATTTTTTTAAGATAACCTACCTTACTGGTAAGCCTTTGTGTTTGCCAGTTTTCCTTTTCATAATTGCTCTTCTCCCATTTCACAAAAGAAAATTATTCCTCTTACCCATATTGAGTCTCTTTTCTGTTTTGTTTTTTCATATTAAGTTTCGATATGGGTCTTGCCCCAGAATATAAATATTTCGGCAGTAGGGACACCAAAGGGACCATTTCCAAGAATTCATGGCTCCTGAAGGAGAATCCTGTGGGAATTAAGTAAAAAAGAATTGGAGTAAATGAAGATGGAGTTACCTTATTTTGTGTAGATTCTGTGTTTGTCATCTTAGAGTAAATATTAAGAGACTAAAGTTAGACTTCATTCTATCTAAAAGTCTGGTTGACTAAGGTTTAAAAGAAAGATTTTTCCTTCAGCTAATTAAGCTAAATACATTTACATGTCAAGGTCTCGATTAAAATATTTCTGAGTTTATGTTGTATTTTTTTTAATTGCATTTCATATGGTACAAGTCCATGAGCAAAAATGTTAAAACCACTGCTCTAGATATCACCTGCAAGAATCCAGTGCTTTCATAATCTGGATTATTTCATTCATTTTCAGATAATCTCAGGATCTGGCTCCAACCTACAGATATAATAAGCATTTCCTTTCAAATCACTGGTATTTTATCTGTTATGTTATGGCTGTTTTTAAATTTACTTTCCATTACTTAAATTGTAAGCTTCCTGAGGGTAAGGGACCGTGTTTTTCTTCCTATTCTGTTCTTTATAACACCTCACAGATATTCTGTGCAATTTTTTTTCATGGAGGGTTATTGAGATAGGAATATGTTAAAAGATAAACTGAAAGAGGACTCTGAGGAATGAGAATTACGTGGGATGTAAGGTTTACTTGTTTGTAGGAGAAAAAAAAATGTTTTAGCATGAGTGGTATGTAAACTTTTTCTTAAAGGGACAGATGCTCAGTAATTTGGATTTTTTTGAGCCATACTATGTTTAGTCTGTGCAGCTTCACAACTCTGCCATAGTAGTACAAAAGCAGCCATAGACAATATATAAACAAATGGTGTGGCTGTGTTGTAATAAAACTTTATTTATAAAAACAGTCATTGCCCTAGCTGGCTTGGCTCAGTGGATAGTTGTTGGCCTGCGGACTAAATGGTCCCAGGTCCCATTCCAGTCAAGGGCACATTGCCTGGGTTGCGGGCTTGGTCCCCAGTGGAGGGGTGTAGGAGGCGGCCATTCAATGATTCTCTCTCATCATAGATGTTTCTCTCTCTCTCCCCTTCTCCTTTCTTCTCTTAAATCAATAAAAATATATTTCAAAAAACACACCAAAAAACAATCATTAATAGGCCCTGGCCAGTGTGGCTCAGTTGGTGAGTGTCATCTCATGCACCAAAAGGTTGAGGGGTCAATCCCTGGTCAGGGTGCATATGAGAGGCAACTGATTGATGTCTCTTTCTCTCTCCATCTCTCCCTGCCTCTCCCTTCTCTAAAATCAGTAAAAGCATTTTTTTAAAAATCATTACTGATATCTGTTCTTTAAATAATGCAATTCTTTTGTTTATTTTGTTAATCCTCATCCGAGGACATTTTTTTCCATTGATTTTTAAAGAGGGTGGAAGGGGGAGAGAGAGAGAAACATTGATGTTAGACACATTTATGTGAGACACATCAATTGGTTACCTCCTGCACCTGCCCTGACCGACCGGGGCTGGGGATCGAGCCTGCAATCAAGGTATGTGCCCTTGACTAGAATCAAACCAGTGGCCCTTCAATCCGTGGGCAGATGCTCTATTCACTGAGCCGAACCGGCTAGGGCTGAATTCTTTCTTAACCACCTAAATTCTGTAACTACTCCCTGACTTGTTATCAAAACTCTCTTTGACTAAAGAAAGGACATGGAATAATATTCTTGCTGCCATTTACTTTTAGCAAAAGTAGAAATGCTTAGAAAACTTGGAGCATATGAATAGATAGCTAGGTAGGAGTTTAGGTCAGGAATGGTAGAGCTGTAAATTAGCTTAAAACAGAATGAATCGAAGACACTAAAACATTTTCCTCTGCTTCAAATTCCAGGGTCATTGACTTCTACCTTCTCTTGCCATTGGGTTATATAGCTCATACACCTGCTATTTGTATAGCATTTTGTGGTTTAAAAAGCACTTTTCCCACAACCTGCCTTAATTGCTTCTCATAGTAATCTTGTAAGGTGTTGCTTTCAGCTTTCCAGGTTAAGAAACGGGTTTGGAGAGGTAGTAGTTTTATCTCAGGCTAAATGGCTAAAGACTTCAGATGGCTGAAGAATTCAAACTCGGGTCATCTGATGCCTGACCTTCATTTTTCTCTATTCTGTGTTCCTCCCCAGCCAGGTTATTAAGAGAAGTCAGGTTTCTAATCAGTTCCACACTCTGGGTGCAGATGAAGCCACCAGGAAGACTTAGGAACATTTCTCGGATTAGTTACTCTCTCAAGTTTACCATATTGAATTGTGTAGTCTCATATTTGAAAAAGAAGTCTGAAGCCTATAACTGGTAGTTATATTCTGATTCCCATAAGGCCTCTTCCATACTCATTGAATATCAACTGATAAACATGGTGAGCATTCCTCTGGCAACAGTATTACCATGTACAATTTTGAGTTGTCTCCTCCATGTGCCCTTTACTGGAATCGAATAGCTAATAGTTCCCTATTAACTGTCCTTTTGACTGGATCATATCTATAGATCTAACCACTGCCCTTATACTTCCCCACTCCATCCCATTCCAGGCAACTCGAGGTAGCAATGAGGGAGAAAATAAGGAAAGATCATTTTCCTGCCTGCCTCTATTGTTTCTCCCTTTTTCTCTCTTGTCTTATATACACACAGAGCTCCTACCATGACACTGGGGTTTGAACAAGAAATGGTCATTAAATTCTCCTTATAGGAAGAGAATTCATATAAAGGAGAATATTTATGTATCTTTTACTATACCAAGTTGGATGGATGGACTTTTTTGCCTATGGATAAATTAGACTTTCTGTGAGTTGACCTGGGGTCCTAGATACCATATTAATATTGTTCTTATTTGGATAATTTTGGATTGTCCTAACAACTCCCACACTCAGAATGCAATCTATTTGTAAACTGGAAGATTTGCAGGGCCACAAGTCCACAGGGCACCATCCTATGTGAATAGTTCCCCCTGAAGTATTGAGATTCCTGTGTATCATTGTGTAGAATAATGAATAACAGTGAAGACTAGCAGCTAGAATAATGCTGTGTAGGTCAAACAGGGTCACCTTTTTGCATCAGGGTCACCTTTTTGCAACCTCTTCATTTTTAAGTAGAACCAGTTGTGTAGTTTGTGAAGATAGGAACCAACTGAGGCTCGTAATACTAGATTTCTGTCTCCCTTCTTGACCTCATTCACTCCCATTAAGTATAGCTAGAGATGATAGAATTTGAGGAACTGTAAACCAGGCAGGAATGTGGAGCATTAGGGTGTAATCACTTTTTAGTATTCCAGAAAGAGCGGCTTGTTTCCTTACCCCCTTACTTAATCTTGGTTAATCTTTAGCTTGAAATGTAGAGGATATATAACCTTGGGGAAAACAATGTTAGTTAGGTTTGGGTTTAATAAGAGCACCACCTGCTGGCCATGAAGATATGTGTTTTGAGAGAGCTTGCCAAGACAACTAGTTGTATAGGTGGCTACCACAACTGGCCAGGAGGAGGAGGAAGTGAGCATTGCAAAACACCCCAAGGAGAAGTGTGTTTTGAGAAAATGGTGGAAGAGTATGAGCAAAACCGTCAAATGAATTGACCCTGGTGAGCCTGTAGTCAAGGTCTTTTCATTTTGTTTGCAGAAATAGTAACTTAAGATGTTTGTAATCATTTCTGTTTTCTTGTTACTGACCTGATCAAGTATCTGCAATCTTTATTCTCTAATAATAGCACTTTAATGCCATTGCCTATGAAGATATAGAACAGTGATGGCGAACCTATGACACGCGTGTCAGAGGTGACACATGAACTTCTTTTTTGGTTGATTTTTCTTTGTTAAATGGCATTTAAATATATAAAATAAATATCAAAAATATAAATCTTTGTTTTACTGTGGTTGCAAATATCAAAAAATTTCTATATGTGACACGGCACCAGAGTTACGTTAGGGTTTTTCAAAATGCTGACACGCCAAGCTCAAAAGGTTCACCAACACTGGTATAGAATGTATGAAATTCTCTAGCGGAATGGGTCCCTATCATTTTCTTTCCCTTTCATATCTCTTTCTTTGCTTACTTTCAGCTTCTCTATATCCAATCTTATTCCATAGGTTTAGCTCTGCGTGGATCCTAGGTTTCATTTCTTCTTCAGGTAGGGCATGAGTTCATATCAGCAATTCCTAAGAGATCATTTTTGTTCACTGATTGGGGGATTTACCTGTTCACTCTTACATGAAAGCATTTAAAACACAGCATACTTCTGGCAAAGTGTAGCTACCTGAGTTCCCTAAATACTAGTAGTTGATTATTATCCCTAACTGCTTATTCAGTGGGTTTGTAGGAGGAGTTCTTAGTTCTACTTATTACCTCAATGCCAAGGATGTCCTCTCTTGTGCTTACTCGAATTGTTTGATAGTGGTTGTCTGGATTTAGTTATTTTTTTAAAATATATTTTATTGATTTTTTACAGAGAGGAAGGGAGAGGGATAGAGAGTTAGAAACATTGATGAGAGAGAAACATTGATCAGCTGCCTCCTGCACACTCCCCACCGGGTATGTGCCCGCAACCAAGGTACACGCCCTTGACCGGAATCGAACCTGGGACCCTTGAGTCCGCAGGCTGACCCTCTATCCACTGAGCCAAACCGATTAGGGCATGGATTTAGTTATTTTTTTAAAGAAGAGTCTGCGGTCTTTGGGTCCAGCAGAAACTGTGATTGCTTCGCCTATGTTCCAGTAGACAGAGGAGGGGAAAGCTAGGTTACCAGCCCTGCTGCCTCATCTACAGATGGAGAAGCCTAGTTAAGTTACTTGTTCTTGTTTTTCCCTCTTATTCAGTGATGGTGCTGGGACCTGAATCCAGGTCTACTTCCAGTCCATTGCTTTTTTTTCACTGTCTCCTTTTTCCCCTGGCTTAATTTTCAGTTTTGGGAGAGCAGTGACTGAGAAAAATAAAAGGAAAAAATTAAATCACTATGGTTTTGTAGTCTCATTAAATAGCCTTTGCCAAATGGGAGTAACTTTTCTGGTGACAAAGAGGTATCCTGGGTTATAGAGGGAAGTGTTTTCTCCCCTTTCTTAACACCTATGTATGTTCCAGCTCAGTCCAGCTTTCAGAATGCCTCTAGACCAGCGGTTCTCAACCTGTGGGTCGCGACCCCTTTGACGGTCGACCCTTTCACAGGGGTCGCCTAAGACCATTCTGCATATCAGATATTTACATTACGATTCATAACAGTAGCAACATTACGGTTAAGTAGCAACGAAAATAATTTTATGGTTGGGTCACAACATGAGGAACTGTATTTAAAGGGCCAGAAGGTTGAGAACCACTGCTCTAGACCAGGCGTCCTCAAACTACGGCCCGTGAGCCACATGTGGCCCGCCGAAAACATTTATTCGGCCCGCCAGGTGTTTTTGCCACCGCTGCCTGTCCTGCTTACCAGCTGACTCGTCCCGGGCCCGCAGTGCGCTTGTGTGGAATGTCTGAGGGACAGTGAACTGGCCCCCTGTTTAAAAAGTTTGAGGACCTCTGCTCTAGACAATGCTTTATTTCCTAAGGGTCAGTGGTCTATTCTCAGAACTAGAAAATAATGTCTGGTCCTAAGACTGCTTGTCCATTAGGGACAATCATCCCTAAAAATGGAAATATTCTTTTTTTTTTAAGTATATTTTTATTGACTACAGAGAGGAATGGAAAGGGATAGAGAGATAGAAACATCGATGAGAGAAGAAGTCATCAATTGGCTACCTCCTGCACTGCCCCATGGGGATCAAGCCCACAACCCGGGCATGTGCCTTGACTGGGAATCGAACTGGTGACCTCTTGGTTCCTGGGTTGATGCTCAACTGCTGAGCCACACCAGCCAGGCGGAAATATTCTATTTCGTATTCATTCTAGTCCTGAAAGGTCTAGTGTTCAAACTTGGTCTTTGAAATGTCATGAAATCCATGGTCTATACCAGGGGTGGGCAAACTTTTTGACTCGAGGGCCACAATGGGTTCTTAAACTGGACTCAGAAGGAGCTGCGGCCCTGTTTCCCGACGTTGCCATGTTAACACTGCTGCTGGTGAAGGAGCGGAGGGGAGAGCAAAAGAACCCTCCGCTCTTTCGGCTCCGCGGGCCGGATAGAACAGCCGAACGGGCCGGATC